TAGCTTAAATTAATCCATTTCCATAAATCTATACCTTGCCACGTGGCTGGTGGCTTACCGGCGTCTTCACATGCTGCTGGTCATGGTGGTGGCTGGCAATGTCTCTCTGCCTCAGCCCTCCACTTCCCAGAATTCTCCTCTCTCCTTGTCCCACCTACTTCCTGCCTGGCCACTGGCCAACCAGTGTTTTATTTATTGACCAATCAGAGCAATTTGACATACAGACCGTCCCACAGCATACTTAAGATATGAGTTAAGCAAAATGCCAGGCTTCACTTTGTATTTTCTAAATTATATTTATTTGAATTTATGCTTTAAGCATTCAAAGTTACTTAATTGCCCCTAAGCACATCTAGAGTACCACCACCATGATGGACATGCATATATACACACTCCTGAGCCAGCAATACCTGGGATCACCACTGTTCTTTGGTGTCCTTTCTCCATCTTTCTTCATATGCACAACTATGTAGAAAACAACAAAAATCTAGCTTTTGTTTGTTTGTTTTGAAGACACAGTTTCACTGTGTAGCCCTGCTTGGCCTGAACTATGTAGACTGTACTGGCCTTGAACTTACATAGATCTACCGGTTTCTGCTTCCCTAGTGTTGGATTTAAAGGTGTGCATCACTCTGCCTGGCAAAAAATATTGTATTTCTTCTTTGGCACTTATAAATGTGCTTAACCGGGGCAATACTTTCAAGGTTAGTTTGGTGACAGAAATCCTAATGGTTTCTCAAGAAATTAAGCCAGCATATTTGCATACACAAAGATGCTAACGGAGGGCACCCCTGAGTCAAGATATCCTCTCATACTCATCAGCAAAACAGCACAGAGCCCCACAGCTTCTTTCTCAACCAGCTGCCGCTCTTACAGTATTGTATGTGTGCGCACGAATGTGAGTGTGTTCACATGCCATGGCACAGTACATGTGTAGAGGTCAGAGGACAACTTTCTCTTTACACTGTATGGTGGAAAAGCTTGGTGGCAAGCACCCTTTATCCTCTGATCTCATCAGCCCCCCCCAATAATTTAATGATTTAATTTAATAATTTAAATTGAATGATTAATTTATTTAGGTTTTCCTTTCTCTCTCTCTCTCTCTCTCTCTCTCTCTCTCTCTCTCTCTCTCTCTCTCTCTCTCTCTTTCTTTCTTGGAGAAAGGGCCTATTATGTAGCCCTGGTTAGTAGATCAGGCTGGCCTCAAACTCACAGAGGTCCACCTGCCTCTACCTCCCTGATGCTAGGATAAAGGAATGTCCCACCATACCCAGTCAAATCAAGCAATTTTAGGTAAACATCGATGAAGCATTACTTTACAGCTCAAGCAAGTTTTCATTTCAATGCATACATTTCTCTTTCACAAAACTGACCCGCATGCCGTTGAACACACTTTATTGTCTCCATGCCTTTTACTGATTAACACAGCTGGTGGCAAACCTTTTTATTTATTTATTTATCTATTGAGACAGTCTTAATATGAAGGACAGGTTGGCCTCAAACTTAGGATCTTCCTGCTTCAGCTTCCTGAGTGCTGGGATTTTAAGCATGTGCCAATGTGCCTTGCTTAAATTTAATACCCAGAGTTTATATTCTATGAGATATGAAGACTTTACTGAAGCTTCAGATTTTATAGACTGAAGTTTTTGAGATTGGAGAAAAGTGGCCCCAAGAACTGAAAGGCCAGAGAAGAGACTCTACTGTGGGTTGAGGAGGGCCCAGTATCCCCAGGTGAGAGATTACCTGTAGAGAAGTTCTAACAAGCCATTCTGTGGCTTTTAAAGAAACACTGTCTAAAGAAAGAGTGGGTAAAGCCTTTTTTGAGTATGGTTAAGACCATTGGTTAGAAAGACTCACTTCTGTCCTTCCAGTTCTCCAGAAGGGGCTGCTGGGCTCCTAGGGCACAACAGCCTGTACTGGTTCTTTCCGGCTCTGCATCCCTTCCAGGCGAGCAGCTAGACTCTGACTTGGGGAGCACAAGGTGTGTGAACTGAGCCCCCAGGTTCCAGTGGAATCTGTTGGAGAGAGTTCCATACCAAGCCTCTGGGAGGACTGTGAGGACAAGCTCTCCTCAGCCCAGCACTGGGTCCCTTAGAGCTGTAATTCTCCTCAGGTCTACTGCTTAGTCCACACTGCCAGCAGAGCCTGCTCAAGAACCCATCCTGCTGAAGCTCCAGCAAGGGGTGCCATTGGTGGTGGATTTGGCCTTGAATACTGGGAGGAGCGCTGATGGCTCACCTTAGAGCTGTAATACACTGTCACTGAGTGTGTCCTACAGCAACATTCTAATAGTGCTAGCTCTATTCTTTCCCTCTTTTCCAAGAGGTAAGAGGCTTATTTCAGAACTTTACTCCTCAAGGAAAACCCCTATACACCCATCCCCAGGAGGACATATTTTCAAACCAATGTGCTCTGTATTGGAGCAGAGCTAAATCCTAAGTGCACTGCCTTCGATGTTCACAAGCCTCACTCACAAGGGAGTGAGCATGAGGAATAATTGACTGCTCCGAAACCCAACCTTGGAGGGAACGGCATGTCCCAGGAGGCACGCAGCTCTTGCTTTCTGTAGTTTGTAAGAGCAGAAGGTTCAAAGAGAAAAACAAAGAAAAGCAATGAATGAGATGCGTATGGCCAATGATGAAAATAATTGAGTTTCTGTTCACTCTGAAGAAAAGCAGCCTGTGGGGTGGCATAATCTCACAGCCCTCTTTTCCTAGGTTTTTAATAGAAAATGTCCAAGAGGATCAAAGAGGACCCAGTACAGGGTTCATTATGCCAGACACAGTATTCTGCACTAACTGGATGAACTGGCCTCCACCTAGCCCCAAGGAACCTTTTACTGCTTGTTACTCAACTACTACTTCTGAACCTAGCCATGTAGCTTTGGAAGCTAGAGATGGAAGGCACCTGTGAGGGTGGGGTCTGCATGGTCTGTCTTCCTTTTGGGGTCACAGAGAAAGGGCATGTGCTCGACTGCAGGTATCTAGACTCGGTGAAGGCTTTCCCAGCCCACGTTGTAGTAGTGAGCTGGAGGCGTTTACTCTGGACCAAGCCTCCAGCTCCATGTCCATAATTGCAGCAGGATAGTGTGGCCAGAAATCTCCTTCCCATGGCTGTCAGACAGAGCAGTGCTCAAAGTCACAAGGAGAGTTCTCACCCCTCACCCTCTAATTGCACTGCTTTGTAATGCAGTCTCCTAACACACAACTGGCTAATGCTAGCTACAGGCTAAAGCACAGTCCTAGCCTGGCATTCACAGCTTGATAGCCTGATGCACATACCTATCAATCTGAGCCTCTCCACAAATGCTCTTCTCCATAAAGAGATCCCAGGTCACTGCCAGCACGCAGATGTGACTGCACGTTCTTGACCCAACTCCTAATCCTTCAGGCCCAGGTCAAGTGCCCTTCCCCACACCATCCTTCTCTGGGCCTCTGGGCCTTACTCCCTCTCCCACCTGGCACTGTTGTGCAGTGAACAGTCCCTGCCTGGAACTGCAGAAGACGGCTATCCCACTGTAGTGCTCACGGTCCACAAGGGAGATGGGGTCATATGGGAAGGAAGGGTGTGATCGGAGTGAGTCAGAGAAGGATCAAGAGCGCAGGGAGTTTTGCATTGACGCTCGACAGAATGAAGGGCCATCGAGAGCAAAAGTGGAGTGAGAGAAACACAAACTCGGAAATCTGAAGAGGCTATGTTCCCAGAGAACCATTCCCAAGGCTCTGAGTTTAGGAACTTGTGCATTAAATAAGAAAATGCTCTGTTTTGGGTACTAGACACATTTCCTCCTTATTTGCATTGTGTACTGCGGGCAAGGATGGTGCAAACATGGTAGGTTCTATGAAGAGCACGCAATTCTCTAAGGGTACAAAAGTAACCTCTGTGATTACATCCTGCCCATCTCCAACACTGCAGGTGCTGTGGGACCACTTAGGTGCAGTACACCAAAAAGCCAGGGCATGGTCACTGGACTAGACCCCACTTAGAAGCTGGTTTTCTGCAGGGTGGAGTCTGGTCCAGGTCTGCATGAATAGTTACTGAAAGGCCTAACAAGACTGTGTCTAATGTCAGCCCACTTTACAGCTCGGCTGCTCACAGACAAAGGCTGTATTTTCCTAGTCCTCTTCAACAAGTTGGTACTTCTCTCTGTACAGTCAGCTTCAAACTAAGGTTTGAACACCTCTTCTAATAGCCTTTTCATCTCATTCTTCTGTCACTAATATACCCATGCTCTTTCTCACAGAACTGTTTTTGTATTTTTGATTGTGAGCTTGGCCTTTAATGGCTGAACCATCTTTCCAGCCCCAGAGTTGTTTTTAAACAACAACAACAACAACAACAACAACAACAACAACAACAACAACACACACACACACACACACACACACACACACACACACACACACACACACACACACTAAGTGGACAACAAGATCTTTAATTCTTTTACCTGAGACAAATCTGTAGGCAGAGAGTAC